TAATATATCGGGCATGGGTATACTAGACTGAGAAATTGTTTTGATAATAGAATGCGGATCAATCCAATTCATGTGCACAATAGAAGACAAGATTTTACGTTTGTCAACCAATTAAGATTCTACAGTCCTCGTTCAAAATAATTTATTTTTGGAAAGTTGAACACAAGTAGCACTCTATTTGGCAAGTAATCGAGGGAGCAGCAGAGCAAAACGAAGATCTCTAGCTTGAAGTTCACAGCATGAAAAGAGTAATGATGCAAATGGTCTAGTTTTAAAAACAAATGTTTGAGATGATAACCGATGTTACAGCTCTGACTGTCTGTCACTCGTCAAATATCACTCTCCGTGTTTTCTTGCGCTTCTTTCCGCTCCATTGTCCGTCGACACGGGATAACGCTAGATCTCGTGTCTCTCCCTCTCTATCTCGCTTCGCTCTGAATGTTCAATACACATTCGTTCTGGTGGATTCGAATAAAGGAGAAAACTTGAAAAACACGAAACCTAACAAGCGGTCCTCATCTTTCTGGTGACTTTCAACTTTGTTTATCACTTCTTGTTCTAGGCGGACATCCTTATGGGACTCCTCTAGCTCCATGACCACTTCCTACTTCAAAAGTAAAGCGAAAGTTTCATGAAATAAACAGTATGTAAAAAAATTATTCGTACACTTTTAGTTTTCTTTGTATTGTATCGTTATTCTGCATGAAAAGATTTCGACTCATCGCTCATTCGATAGAGAAAACAATTCTCTATGCATTGGTATGCTTTAAAATGGTAAACAATAATGTCAAAACTCCGGAAACCTCAAGGTTCCTAGAGCTCCATAGGTTTTTCAGAAACTCTTTTTGTTACGAACTTTGTAAACTGAAAACTCAACTCACAATGCATCATTCGATAGAGGAGAAAAAACTGAATCGAAGCATGTCCTTGATTTTCAAACATATTTATTTAAAAGAGGAATTAATTGCTAATTATGATTAGTCTTTTCTATAGATGTATCATTATTTTCAACTTTTAGCCATCAAAATCTAACGGAAATTTTATTTTAAAAACAAAAGCCTAGAGAAAATTAAATTCTCTACAAAATCATGTACTTCACTATACAATAATTATTTTCCCTCGACAAAATAAGACCATAGCANTATGATATTTTGTCTTCTTTCCAAAAAAAGAATTTGAAACTACTCGAATATTTTTTTCTAGTGGAAAAAATGTCGATCCTTGTAGTTACACAAGACTGTCACAATGAACGGAGTGCTGTATTTCAGCTTAAATAATAGAAAACGAAAGTCTGAGAAGCTGAAAAATATAAGGCAACTTTATTCTCGTTTCTTAGTTGTATTTTCTTGCATTAAAAATGTGTATTGACGAGCACTTTGAAATTCAAATTGAAAATTTATACTGCAAGGATAGAATTGACAATAACGAAAATAAGTTTCTACGAAGTCAACTTTCATGTTTTTTAGTGCTTGTGGCCTTCGCGACTGTAATTTGAGGGTTGAGTAGCACCACTACCGACACGTCCGTCACTATTCCGATCCATGTGTAACATTTTCGAGTTGATTCATTAAACCACCACCACTAGATTGATGTGCATTTGGAGCGCATCCAACCTCGCCATACTGATTTGGATTTGAGGGATGAACAGGTCTACCACCGACAGTTCCGTTACCATTGAGATCCATATATGTGGTACTGTCGGCTTGATTAATAAAGCTCCTATCTCCTTGGCCTTGTGAACGGTAACCACCAGCACAAAGTCATCTAGCAAAGGCGTCTTCTAGACATAGATCTCTAAGGTAGTCTGTCAGAATGTTTTTCTTTCCCAGTAAAAAAAAAGCACTCCTTTTCTGTTCACTGTAGTTACGCGAAACATGTCGAAAGACGTTGAGGATGTCTTTATAATATATCGGGCATGGGTATACTAGACTGAGAAATTGTTTTGATAATAGAATGCGGATCAATCCAATTGATGTGCACAATAGAAGACAAGATTTTACGCTTGTCAACCAATTAAGATTCTACAGTCCTCGTTCAAAATAATTTATTTTTGGAAAGTTGAACACAAGTAGCACTGTATTTGGCAAGTAATCGAGGGAGCAGCAGAGCAAAAACGAAAATCTCTAACATGAAGTTCACAGCATGAAAAGAGTAATGATGCAAATGGTCTAGTTTTAAAAACAAATGTTTGAGATGATAAACGGTGTTACAGCTCTGACTGTCTGTCACTCGTCAAATATCACTCTGCGTGTTTTCTTGTGTTTCTTTCCGCTCTTCGACTTCGATTGTAGTGTTCCTTTCTTCTGTCTTTGATCTTCCTTTTTTTCGTAAGCTTTACGGCTTTCATTCTTTTCTTTACTTTTCCTCTCTCTAGTCTTTTTCTCGTCCGTTCTTCCTATCTTTTGTAATTATATAGTAGTCAGATCAATTTTAGTGAGTTTCTCCATTGTCCGTCGACACGGGATAACGCTAGATCTCGTGTCTCTACCTCTCTATCTCGCTTCATTCTGAATATTCAGTACAGATTCGTTCTGGTGGATTCGAATGAAGGAGAAAAATTGAAAAGCACGAAATCTAACAAGCGGTCCTCAGCTTTCTGGTGAATTTCAACTTTGTTTATCAGTTCTTGGTCTAGGCGGACATCCTTATGGGCCTCCTCTAGCTCCATGACTACTTCCTATTTCAAAAATAAAACGAAACTTTCATGAAATATATATATGCTAGAACTAAATCGTATCCGAACCGATCATGCCATTTCCATTCAAATCCACACCCCATTTATTTTCAACTTGTTTGGTGATAAAATCTATTTAAGAAACGCACGTACGAATCATTCATTTACAACGGAGAGGCAGAACAACTATTGAAGTTTTTTCACAATAGTTTTCTTTTGAATCATAGATTCTCCTTGGCTTCTTCTCATTTAACTTTCTGATATTATTTTTGAAGTCCATGCGACAAATTTGATGTCGCAGCTTCAAGCTTCTTTACCCAGGACTGAGATACCGTGCTGGACAAAAGTAGCGAGCCCTCTGAAGTGATACAAATTTGAATGATTTTGAGCTAATATTTTGGATACATGTGAGTTATGCTTAACCCTGATCGCAAGCACCAACCCGGCACCGATCGATTGCTGTGTAATGAAGTTATCCATTGAACATTGGTTTCGCCTTGCAACGGCCATAACTCAGCTATAATAGGATATTTATTTCTGCGGGACCTCTTATGTAAGAGCCCGGCTTTGAAGCTGTCTTCAGTATAAATTTCACTGAAATTTATCGAGTCGTTAAAGACTGATGATCATTTTACTGTAATCATCGATGTACAAGAAAGCCATGTGATATCACTATGAAATCCATAACTCAGTGAAAGTTTAATAGATCCATCTGAAAATTTTATGAGAACTGTCGTCATGGTTGGCCATTGTTTTCCGAAAGTTTCAGAAGAAAACAATGCACAATAAAGGAATGGCACACTCGTGATCATTCAGTTATTGTCAAGGTGCCAGAGACTCCAATTCTCAAGCAAATGTGTTCATTTTTTTTAGTAAAGAAAGAGTATATCTTGAGCTTCATTTTCATACTAAAATATCGATAATTACTCGTATGTTCGATAAAATAAACGAAAAAGTTTCATAGCTACTCTTTTTTCATGTTTTCAGCAAATATAGGAAAATCAGGTTATGGGGTGTGGGTCTAGGTATGATTGAAAATAACACTCACACCCACATCCACACCCAAAAATGAACCCGAGGAAACTTGGCACTTTTCAAAGTTCAACTCGAATTCGTCCGCAGGTCGGATGCTTCAATATTATTAACAAAATGATGAATGGAAGAATATTGCCAATGGGCGATTTGGTAGTCTTTGACGACGATGAAAATTTCGTAAATGATTATCACAAAATCATTATTCGAAGTATCTTGCCTTATAATCACACTTTTCTCAGTTGCCGCGCCTATTCCGCACAATATGCCATTCAATTTTGATGAGGTAATTTTAAAAAATCGCCCTTTTATACTAGCTAATTAAACTGATGATATTCAGACATTTATTAGGTAGAAAAGTTTCGAAAAAAAAATACAAACTGACTTTGATTATGGTTATGAATACAAATATCTTCACATCACGTCATTGAATTAATACATTCTCAAAGTACAAAACATCATGGGTGTGAATGCGGGCATGGGTGTCGGTTATCTCTTCATCAACACCCGTATCCACAACTTTTCTTGTAGTATTAGACCAATTTACTAATCATGCTGACAAGTACACTTTGAAAGTATTCTCGTGAGAATTTAGCATCCATGTAGAAAATGTTGATTCATCAGATAACTCAGTTATGTTTATGCTTTTTTAGATATAACACCTAAAAGCAAGGAATGAAATTTGGCAAATTGATATTCTAATTAGGAAAAACAACCTAGGAGTATTAAAAAATACTTATATTAATGCTTCACTAACAGCTACCTCTACTAGTTTAATTCATATAATTTTACAAGAATTATTAACCACAAATTAATACTTATCAACCCTAACTATAAGTCAACGTAGGCAATAAACTTTTGCTAATTAACGAAAATAATTCGACTTTTTGGTTTTGATCCTTCTAATTCCGTCTTAATTCTATTCCTTTCAAGATTAAGTCCAATAGACGTGGTTCATGATTTGTCTGATAAACAAACATATAAGATCCCATTGAGTTAAATGAATAATGATATTTTGTGAAACACGATCTGAAAAGAATGTTAAACTTGAAGCTCCTCACCCAGCTACAGACTGTGCCAGATGATAATATCGTATTGAAGAAATCTGTTTTAAAACAGATAGAATAAAACAATCACTCTATGATTAGTAACTAGCAATTACGTCATGTTTCATTTCATATGTTAATCCTACATGGATAGCACACTATTAGCTTTATGTTTTAAAAGATCGAATTTTTAAACAGATTTTATTTTATTTATAAGATAGTTCTTTTCTAAATATTTTTAAAATGTTTTAATATTTTGTTGTTAGACGATCAGGAATTGTTTGAAGTTCACGATTACGTGTTGATCCATTTAAAGTTGATGGATCGAAACGAGTTGAATTCCAGTCATACTCTTGACTTATATGTAAAATATAAAGTATTTTTCTATAATAATGATAAATTGAATGATAAAATATTTTGCGAAAAAATCCACTTGTCAATGTATAAACATAAAATGATTTTGAACAGTTACCATATAATAAAATAATACTTATTTGTAATAATAATCCATCTACTGATCGTTGATAACTTGATTTGGGTAAACCTGTTGATAAAACAAAATATGCATATAATGCAATACGTATTAAATCAAGACAACTTGATAATGTTGCTTGTGAAAGCATCATCTAAATAGAAATAAAAGAAAATAGTATATTATATTTATATTATAATCAATTGATGACATACAACAATAAGTTGTGACTCTGTTTTTTGTGTACGTCGTTGTTCAGTTGACATCTTTGTTACTGCTGCACCTACACGTTGTTTTGTTTTTATTACATTTCGAAATGTTAAAAAACTGAACAATAATATAAGTCCATTTGGTAAGAAACCGGTCCAAATAATTAAATAAACACTATAAACAATTGAGTAGACTCCTGGTTGTGCTATACATGCTGGAAAAAAATTGTAGAAAACTAACATATGACTTGATAATATCATTGAAATGATAATCACTAGTGGTGCCAGACGATGAGCAACTTTTAATTGACTAAATGATCGATAACGAACTTGAGCTGTTGTTGACATAAAACGATCAATTGTTGTTAATAATATCATATAAGTAACTAAAGAAGGTAATGCAACAACTAAATATGATCGAATTTTACAATATGCTACATTGGTAGTAAAAAGTGTACTTCCTAAACGATCACCAGCTAAACGTGATAATAGACCAAAATAAAATGCTATTAATTCAGTAATAGCTGTGCATAAAAAATAAAATGCACATGAACTTGTTCTTAATTGTTTTGATGTAAATGTTATAAAATTACATAAAGATCCACATGAACCAAAAATAAGTAAAGTTATTGGTGTATATAAAGACATTTCTCTTGCAATGCGTTGAATAAGAATTTCGTTTGAACTCATAATGATATATTGAATGTAAAGAATAAATGATTCTTATCTTTAAAAGAAAAAGAGAAATTATATTTAAAAATACAAGTTGAAAATATCAATGACAATAATATTGATCTCATTTGAAAATCTTACTTTGTTTTGAAATAAAGAAATCGAAGTCATAGTTAAGTTTAATTTATATTGTATAGTCAATCGGGTCGGTTTTTTTTTTCGATAATAGACGACTCCTCAAAATTTTAATGCATAAGAAAACTATCAAATAGATACTATTTTGAACACTACTGACCAAAAGTATCTCATCTATTCATAAAAGTAGATATGTGAAGTTTTTTTAGCGTATTTACTACTGTAAAAAGATAATACAATGAGATGAGGCTGGTCTTGTTCGCTTATGCTGACGAGAAGCTATGATATATGATAGGTCTTCTCATTATGAGTTCTATAACTGAAAAAGAATGCTCAATCTGTCCTTATGTAAAATATCCGTAGCTTTTCAACGTTTAAATGAAATTCATAGTGTAAATAGTCGTTTTAAAGGACTAAACAATTAATCTTCTTAAACTCAAGCAGTTGAAGCCAGACTGATCTACATTTCTACGGCACTATCTATGTTAAGAGCTTCACATGTCTAGTGCTAAATATAACTGAAATACTTTTAGTCACTAGTGTTATTTTAAAACAGTATCTATATGACAGTTTCCTTATGCATAAAATAAGTTTTCTATTACCGAGAAAAAAACTAGCTCGATTAACTAAAACAAATTAGAGATATTGAATATTTTTATCATCTAGTTATTTGTGGGCTATCCTGTAGATTACTTACTTATGAATGTGTGCTATTCAAATAAAGATTTCTTTTATACGACAAACTTTTCTCGAAGAATGTAAAAATAAAAAGATAGAAGGTATTTATAGCATGAAATAGTCTCGTCTAGAAACATAAGGCAATAAATATGATAAAAGAATTAGTAGTATCGAATCAGAAAGGATTATAAATATATAATATATTAAAATAATATGTCGAATATACCTTGTAGGCAGTTCATAAAAATTGTAGATGAATTTTTAATTAATTATATCTCATCGACAAATGAGATTACTAATTTCAATTACACTTCTTATAGCTGCTTGAACCAGTGCGTATGAAATACAGTTTTATTAAAGTCAGTATATGATGTAGATATAATATTAATTTTCAACAAGTATATAATTTGAAAAAACAAAGATTATTTGTTATATTTTTAAAAGATAATCTTCGTCAATCATAAAAGTATTGATATTTTATAGATAGATGTTATTGCTGAAATAAATCATACAGTGCATACGATCGAATTGGTTGATTTTTCTTCAATTCTGGAAATAGATATGGCATTTTTTATAGTTTAAAAAAATGTGCGAAATTATTTTTATTCAACATGCTAACAGCTGATCATATAAATATTGAAGATAATCAAGTAAATATGTATTGAGATAAATTTTCGAACTTATGTCAAGAAGAAGATTATCGGAAAGATGGTATGATATGTCTTCTAGTGATCTTTATATTATAGTCTTATGAAACAAAATTGAGTACATTTTTTCATTAAGATAATGACAAAATAGAAACTACGTTGATGTTATATAGATTAAAAAAAAAGAAAATGAGTACATATCTTAGATTCTTTTAGCCTTCAGGTTAAGTGGAAATAGCGAATGTTCTTTTTGGTTTTTATCAATTTTGAAATAAAAAATATCACTTATTTAAAAAGATCTGCTTTTAAGTGTTTCGTACATTTAGAAAATGAGATCTACCATAAGAATTTCAATAATTTTTATGAAGTTTTTGACTATACTGGTTCTTTGATTTAAAGTCGACAGAAAATCGAATAAACCTGATTTATGATAGATGATAACGAACATTAAATTTATTGATTAATACTTTTGTAATAATTAATGAAATAAGACATAAGTAGTGAATAAAAATAAAGTTTACTTGTATTTAGTTTAGATAATAGAGAAATAAAAAAACAATATTAATAAACATTTTCAGATTATTAGATCTAATATCAACAAATATTAAACATAATTAGATTATTATAAAGTTTAATCAACATATATTTTGATTTGTTGACTTTAATAATTATATTTTTAGTCAAAAATTTCTCTTCGCAATTCTTTCATATTATATTTATATCCTAGATAATAAGTAAATAGTAGAAGAGACAAAAATTTATTCGTAATAGTATCGTATTGCTAATTTACATTGGTATAATCCGCATCATCTATTTTTAGTTTGGTTCTCTACTCTATCTTCTGTATGAAGTTGATTTTCAAGTTCTATTCTATTGTTCATATTCATATACTTTTCGAGATTATTCAACACTATTTCAAGAAGAAAGTCTTATTAAAGAGAGAGAGAGAGAGAGAAAAATATAGTTTTCGAAAATAGTAAAGTCGAAATCATGAAGTTTCTGAATGTGCATTATCGAAAGGTAAAATCCGAAGTATTAACTTTCTGCTACTCATCATGACAATGTCATATTAACGTAAATAATGTACCTTCCTATTGAATGACCTCATTTTCATCTATATTTTAGTGTATCAATCCTTTCTGTTCATATTATACCATGATTTTATGTCGTAATTAAAAGTCTATTCCTGTAATTCTATATTAAAATCTTGTTAGTGAAAGAAAATACATTTTTCATCAAAAGACTTCTATATACATGACATCAATCTGAATGGATCTATTTAAAAATATAGATTCATATGGACTGTGAACTATGTTATACCTTCGTGCAAAATAACTGTATGATTTAAAATAACTTTTCAACTGATATTAAAAATAAAGCAAACCAATTTCTTCAGACTAGTTTGCTAAAAAGATCGATCATTTCTTCTTTATAGTGCCTGATAACTTATGATATACAGGTATGATTATAATTGATTTTATAGATTAGTGATGACATTAGACATTATTTCAATGTAAACCATAAATAGTGTATGATTATCGTTAATTATCTATCTCTTCTCCTTTTATTTTTAAAGATGCTTAATCTAGATAAAAACAGGATTTGACATGTTAATAGAATTTTTGACTTGAGAGATCAAATTCTTTCTATCTAGCTTTGATGAGACTGTTGCTCGTCTACGATAATTATTTATATTCATATTTTATAACTATACTGTATAGTAAAAAAAAAAGACTATGTATAATTAAACAAATGACTTAATTGATTTCATCTGGAAAAGTTAACCAAGCTTTTTGATTTGACAAATTTATTAATAATATTCTCAATATCTAATTGTTGAATAATATTGTTATGAATAGTGATAGTAGTCAAATTATCAACTCTTTCATTATTTGTCCTATTGCGTGAATAACGAAATCTTTATGGTATTCGCATTTATCATGAATAGTATCTTTTATTGATCTTAATGGCCTATTAAGAAATTGACTGAGAAAGTCAAGAGAGCACAGCAAATTCTTATTTTCAAAAAGTTCAAATTTTTTGCATATTATTATCCCTTGAATAACATAAGCTATAGAATGCTGCGGCAAATGTCTTGATTAACCCTTTGGCTATCACTGACGCCTACATACGTCATGAACTCTATCACTGTCTAAAAGTAATTTAATCAATTATAGTGCATATTTTTTGGACTCGCTTGCATAGAAATAAACATCAGACAGTTGAAGTTCGTAATACCATTATTTTATGCTAGAATCGTACCTTTAAAAACAAGTGTGCATAGAGAACAGTCAGTTTGTTGCACATGTGATTATCTTTTCTTTTTTTTTTGTCTGTAATTCCTTGAAATGAAAGCAACTAGATTCTTGAAAAAAGATGTTATATTTGCAGCAATATTGAATATTGTGCGAAGAAATAGAACAACACGCGCTATCAGTGTACCGAATGTGATGTTAGGCTATGTATTACTGATTGTTTCAAAGATTTCCATCCCTCACAGAAGATTTAGCCTTATCTCGTGTAAGATTAGATTAAAAATAAATAACTATAATAATTTTTGAAAGAGCTTTTTCTCTTTCTTATGTCGATAACCAAAGGATTAAACATCTAATATATATCTTATTTCTACTTACATTATATATTAAAATTAATTTCCTACGCTTATTTCTCCAAGCACTGAATTCAATTCTCCACAAAACTTTTCTCATAATCATTTCATTTAAAATTTCTGAGAATACGTACTTTACCTTGTAAATGTTAGCTATGAATATTTGATTATCAGACTGATCAAGTTTTTTCAAACTTTTGAAAAAATATAGTATGGTAATGGAATCCATCGTTTCGTTAATAGTTGATTTGAAACATATAATGGAATATCATCATCCTTAACATGTACATTAATAATGATAGTAGAATTTTGATTAACAGATAATCAAGAAATAGTAGTTCGAATCTTTTTGTTTTTATCGATTTCAATCTCGCTATTATTGGAATTTTATAGAAATTATCTACTGTTGATTGCTGGAAAACATTTTTATCTATATCACTCTTAGATCTCTTGTTCGATAGTAAATATATACTAATATCTTTCTGTTTTTATATTCAGTATGCTTGTCGAAAATGTATTACATTGATACTGCTGTATGTGGATCATAAAGTAGAAGAAATTACTGATGATCAGAGGCGGCGGAGCGATTCTAATCTAGGGAAGGCTCAAAACTTCTCAGGAACGATAGGAAGGTGATGTTCGGGGAGGNACACGTTTCCTTTTCCTCATTTCTTATCTCTTCGTTTGAGACACCGGAGGGAAGAAATAGAATGCATTCGTCTCTGATTCTAGAAAGAACTCTACGCAAGTAAAGTACACACCAACTTATTGTCTATTGCGTATGCTATGAGATACTAAGTAAGAATTGCGTCTTGAAGCAAGCGGACAAAAGTCTTACATCGTCTATGCAAAATAAAAGAGGATCGCGCGAGCAGTCATCCTATTCCGCGGTGTTGAACATTGCGGAATCAGTTCCACCCAATTCCGGGAACTCCGTCATCATTCAGCAAAAGAGACCTATTCCATATCAATCGAGCTCCACGAATTCCGGGAATTGAGTGGAGACGGAAATAGTAGGAATTGGAAGGAATTCCGGAATCGGAAGAAATTCCCGGAATTCCAAGAAATCCCTTCCAATTCCCAGCAATTTCATCTCGACTCAATTCCCTGAATCCCGTGCCGGAATTACAGACTTATCATAAGGATAAATCATCAGCCACTGCACCATGAATGTGGGTCAGGGCGAGAAGTAATTCCGCTGCGGAATTCCCGAAATTGAGTGGAGAGGGAATTAGTGGGAATTGGAAGGAATTCCCGGAATTACAAGAAATTCCGGAATCAGAAGGGATTCGATCGATATCGATGGGATCTGTTCCGTAGAATCATAATCGAGCTCCCGGAATTGGACGGAATCAGTTCCACCCCGGAACTGATTCCGCAATGTTCAACATTGCGGAATAGGATGTATTCTCGATCGCGCAAGGTCATTTTATATTAGAGCTTGTCGATGTGTGAGAGGGTGAGAATGGGCATGAAGGAAAGATACACCTCTCCTCATTCCCATCCAATCTTCGCCGTTGAACATATTCTTAATATACATGTATATTGTGCAGAACACGATACGGATTTTTCAGATACAAATCATTTTTAATAATGGCTGAAGCAAAACATCAACCTGAGACGATGTCAAGGCGTAAAATTGCTCTTGTAATTGGTGTTGGTGATTATAAATACACCAAAAAGCTAAAAAATGCAACAAATGATGCAAATGCCATGGCATCTGTGCTTCAAAGTATTGGTTTCATTGTTATAAAGAAAATAAATCCAACACATGACGAAATGGAGACGGTCCTTTTTAAGTTTAAACAATCAATACATGAAGGAGACATGATCTTATTTTATTTTTCTGGACATGGAGTACAATGGGAAGTAAGTACTAAAGGTTTATGAATATAAATTGAGTTTTCTCATTTTCTGGAAGTTTTCACGGTTCATGCAAAATATAAGAGAGCCTCTCGATCGTATTACACCAAACCCCATTATTAAAGAATCGTTGTTTTCAATGTCCAATGAAGAATTTTTGGAATATTGTTTCAGAAAAATATGTTTTACGTTTCAAAATAAATCGAGATACTCTACAAGACTGGGTGAAACGAGCTAACTCTGAAAATTTTATTGTACGGTGTGTTTAGGATCAAAATTTTCTAATACCAAAAGAAAATGCCAATAATGATGATGCTAGTATTCAACAAGCCGTGTTTTCCTTGAATGAAATGATAATTCAAATGAACGACAATGCAGGTATTAGTCTGGGAAAGTTAAAGCGATATATGATTCATGTGCAAGGATTTCTGGACGATTTCAGCGGTCGATTTCCATTTGTCACCATATGTCTATTGGATTGTTGTCGAGTTCACTTCCTTCGTAATCCTAATTTGAAGAAAATGACGGCGAAAAACCCCGTAGCAGATGCCTCTAAGTTCAGTGATAAGAAAGCAATTGTTAATGCTGGATTGTTGATTGGCTTCGCTTGTGAGCCTGGAGCCGAAGCAGATGACAATGAAGAGCAAGATAATGGTTTATTTACAAAGCATCTTCTGAAACATATTGTTAAGCCTAATAAAGACATTTTAAAAATATTAAATGTTGTTACAGGAGCAGTGAAAGAAGAATCAAGTTCAAGACAGGTACCATATTGCACCGTTTCACTATTAACAGAAGACGATATATGCTTGTGCGAAAAAGTCTCAGGTATGTAGTAAAACTTGGAATGCAATCAATAAGAGAACAAGATTACGCTAGTTTCATCTAGAAAGTACTTAACACAAAGAGTTTGCTCTGATACTTCACTTGAGAATCAAACTAGATCAGTAAGTTGAGATGCCACTTGTTTCCATTTATGCTATTTAATGCCAGTGAGTATGTTAGTCTCAATAGGGAGTTTCTATATTGCCAAAACTAGTGTACTATTTCTTCTACTTTTTTCTAAACATTTCTTTCGCTCTTTACTCATCAATGTTATACCGCGTTACTTTTCATTCTCTCTTGTCAGTAAATGCGATATGCTTCGCTCTAGCCATCTCAGTTGTATTCTTCCGTTTAGCTTCGACTGAACAATTTCTTTTCAATTCTCAACAGTGCTTATAAGAATGGCTTAGTGTGCGTAGAGTCGGTTAAGATCTTCCCTTGACTCGTACCCACCCACCCACATCCGTATAGAGTCCGTTCTAAATAAGTTTCCACAGCGAATTCTTCTCTGACTTCAATCAACGTGAAATAGAACATTTCCATAACAATTCAAGTCTTTAGGATGTAGATTCGATAAGAAAATTTGTGACCTGAAGACACTATATTGTGTTTATGACATAGGCGAAGAAAAAGAGCTGAAAATTACGCGACACGATTCGTAAAACAACACTGGGCCTTTTGATTTAATGCCTTTTTCGACAGAACTGGATTGAAAAACACATTTTCCTATCGCGACGCGTCTCTTCTAAACTAAAAACCTTCCATGTCAAAGTATCATTGATAAATTGATACCTCGATACGGGACTATTATTTTTCATCTATCAAAAACTGTTGCAGTGCTCTAGTTAGATAGTTAGAAAGAGCACACATTACCGAATATCTGTATTTGCTATTCATATTTTCATTAATTTTAATCTTTAATAACTGTCGACAACAGAAAAAAATCAATAAACCAATTGGCTTATAATATCATTAGGAAATAGAACATTATAACGGAAGGCAATATACGGTTGAACTTTTCATTACGAATACCACTGAATACGTAATTACCTGTTCCAGACGACGAAATTCGATGAGCGTTAATGAACCACGATAAATGTTTGATAGTGCGAAGAGCACAACGTTAGGAAATTGTTAAGAAAAAGTCCAGAAGCTATTTGTGTGCGCATGAAGAGAACATTTAGACTCGCATCCTTTGTCATTAAAGGTTTAATCAAACAGTAATTTTTTAATTCTGCCAAATCTTCTTAAAATGCAAGGCGGGACTTATTTTGGTATTTTGCTTCTTTCGTTTGGGGATAATTGATTATGATCTGTCAACATCGACAAATCACGAGACCAACTAGATATTTAAAAAAAGAGAGCTATTGCTTCTCAATGAAAGAAAACTCCCACAGATTTTCTAGAATATTCTGATTGTCAAATCAATCACTATTTTGAAGAAATGTCCATGAGAAGATTCAGAGGAGATTTTCTGATTGGATTATGAAATTTTGAATTTCTATTTTCTTCAATATCGTATGTCCAAGTAAACAAAAAAAAACATTGACGAATTTTAATAGGCATTCCTAGCATATGCATTTTATTCTTTATGATTTATTTTGCTATTTTACACGATAGAGATTGACATAATCCCAATTCTTCCTCCTTTTCATATTTCTTACTATTTTAACAGTCTTCGCTTGATTTTTATTTGTAGGTTGATGTAATTAGCAACATCTCCTGTTTGGTCTAATTAGAGCATTTATTTGCTGTCAATGAGTATGTTCAATCGCAGAAAGGCAAAGAGATCAATTCTATCATTCGTTTCGCTATCTGTGCGTGTGTTTCTTACCTTCTCAAAGCGTTTCAAAACTAGCTATTAGAGAGGCATCCTTTTTTCTTTGGGTTTGTTATTTTGGAACTGAGTATGACGTGTTTATGTTTCCTGAACTGAAAGGATAGTGTTTAGAAACGGAAATTCATTTAGACTGCCTACCTCCGTATAGCATAGTAAAAACAACCACGAAGTAACCATAGCACAAATGAACATATTGTAGCTATGATTGGGATGATCATTTAGTTATTGTATAATTTATAGACACCGCACAATGTGACTTGAACTACTGGCACTGATTAGCCCACACCCCACAGTAACACCGACACCCTCATAGGACTTACTACAGTCAGAAGAGTAGGATGGAACCCGCTGTTTTATCCTTGGTTTACAACGTGATTCATAGTAATAGCGTGGAAGTCTTGACGATTTGTGCTTGTATTTTTGTTAACACTAGATGATGTCTGACAGCAAAGAGTCCTTTACTCTTGTATCACCATCATTTGATTTCAATATTTCCGGCCTGTGTATAGATATTAAGTATTGTCGTTCTATTAGAATGAAAAGACTTCTCGTTGGTACTGATTGATTTGATGTTGCGATTTACTTTATGCATTGCCATTCTCTTTTTAGTACCGAAACTACCTCAGTACCGAAATCCAACACTCGAACAGGAAATTGATGAAAACAAACATCACAAAGAGTTAGAATTACAGAATATGGGATTGACTTCTCTCGATATGGAAATCGTCGCCTACTATGCAATTCTGAAAAACAAGGTAATATAGCTTGCGGCAATGCATTCACACATCCGTTCTTACTTTGTGTGCATTCTGTGAAATCGTTAAGAATTGTTCTCAATTCCTTCTTTTCTAGAAAATCTTGTGTAAAGTGAGCAAAATGCCATGGCAAATTGTAGAAGCAGCGAAGGAAACTCTTGCTGAACCGTGCTGATACTATAACAAAAAGAAAACACTAGATTTCATCGAAATTCGTTCAATAAGCTGAGCAGAGTATCTTGATTTATGTCGAAACTTAGCCGAGGGAAAAGAACTTATTTGTAGATTCATCTCGATGGGCTCAGATGACTAATAAATTAAGCCTCTAAAATTCTCAATGCTCGGTATACACAATCCTTCTATCAGCTGGAAGAGAACCTTGGCGGCAAAGGCTACACGAATCCGCCATGCTAGTGTTTCATCGTGCATGAAACTATTCTTTATTTACACTGACTTTTAACTAGATGTTGGAAACAAAATCTTCCAATAGCTAAATCCATTGTTAGAGTATACTGATTCCGTTCGAGTCGACCATTAACCTATCTTGACATACTCATATTCTTTATTTTCATTGATGCGGAAGAGTTATCATAGAGCGTCAACGGAACAATATACACTAGACACACCATTATGATATACATTTATGTGAAAAGTGTAGTTGTATGATTTCCATATTCATATAACTATTTTCAAATTTCATTTGCCATCTACTTTGGCATGAACGTTTTAATCATTACAATCACTCAACTTAAGATATTATATAATGATATCTACCAACCGAACTGGAGGCGTGTCCCATCAATATATACTGCCCGTTAGGTGTACTAATTGGCACTGTTTATTCCTTCGCGAGATTTAGCTAATCAGAGTTTCGTCGTTTTCGTTCTGTAAGTCATCTCACGATAGCATCTTCTTCACTTTTTCACACAGACACACACCACACTAGTACTCACTCGCAATGAAATTGGCGCTCTTGGAGCACAACATCTGGCTGATGCATTACGAAATAACACGGTGATCCTCATTCTCTCTTCATTTCTCTTATACAACTATCTGCACCTTTTTACACAGACACTCACCACACTGAACCTCAACACCAATCAAATCGGCGCTCTTGGAGCACAACATCTGGCTGATGCATTACGAAATAACACGGTGATCCTCAATCTCTCTTCATCTCTCTTATACAACTATCTGCACCTTTTTACACAGACACTCACCACACTAAATCTCCACCTCAATCAAATCGGAGATAAAGGAGCACAACATCTGGCTGATGCATTACGAAATAACACGGTGATCCTCATTCTCTCTTCATCTCTCTTATACAACTATCTGCACCTTTTTACACAGACACTCACCACATTGAACCTCGACACCAATCAAGTTGGAGAGAATCTTGGACGTCGCATATGGGAATTGATTGAACGGAATCAACGACGGGCGAAATCGTGAACTTTGCTAATAAGGCTGGTGTTGCGATGAAGAGCTGAGAAAACTTGATTAATGCGGGGTTGAGTTTTTTTCTATGTTATTGTTTGACAAGGAAAATAAAGGCTTTTGAGCCTATGTGTAGTGGTTTCGAGAACAATGATATGAAAATATTTAGGCTTTTTTGGAGGGGTTGAGGACACGATGTCTGATATCCGATCAAGGTTATGTTGGCAACTATAGTTAAGAGATATTTTATGCGTTCGAGTTCGTCTTGATTATTTTCTATGATTGAGTGTGTGTTGAAAGTGATTCGATCAATGGGAAAGGAAGTGGATTTTTCATATGGCAATGTCATCGGTAGTGTTCAAGGATGAAAGTGATTTTTTTGTTTGTGTTACTAGTGAAATCGATGATATTAGTATCTGACGCAGCTGCTGATAGACGATTGACAAATTACTAGCTTGTATTGGGTTTGTTCAAAGAATCTGTGTTTTGGATAGTTGATAAGAGTATGGATTAGTTAAAGTATTCATATAAAGGAATACAAGTTACGTTGAAATAGGATTTCCAAATATGTGAGAATCTGTTCTCTTAGCTATCACCTTCACCGTTGGACAGCTTCATAAAAGTAAACACTGTCGATATGTGAACACGTTAATTTCAAATGAGTTGACTTCTGTGATTGCATATGTCAGGTGCGGGTGTGGGTGCGTGTGGGTGTGGGTGTGGATGAGTGTGGGTTTGGGGTGTGGGTGTGCGATGTGGGTGTGGTGTGTGGGTGTGGTGTGTGGGCGTGCGTGTGTATGTCTTCTCCTCATTCATGTTGATACCCAGACCCACACCCACACTCTTTCAAGTAATATTAGTAAAAGACGAGTATTATATTTTAGGATGACCACGATATTTTTATTATGTTCTTAGTTCGTTTAACTACGAAATCCGTTTACATGCCCTGCCCTGCCCTCAGGACAGGGCGAAACAAAAATTCTGAGCAGGACAAAGGGCAGGACAGGGCAAAAAAATGTGCCCTGTGATGGTCTCTGATATATATATATATTCGTTTTCAATTAACTTGGTAACTTCGAGTATAAACTGTTTATGATTGTAGGAGTAATTGTAATGTTTGGCAATTCTGCTAAAAACTTTCTTATGGAAAAGAAGTAGCCCTATATATTTTTTATATTTTTATAAAGGTCCTATAAAAACACTGCTTTTATAGAAAATCGAAAGCCAGTTACTTTCCAATTCAAACTATACATATTGCATTGGATATTTTTTTTAACTGATGAATCTTTTGTAGGTGAGAACATTAATAATATTCATGAATCTCAATCACTGACTGTATAGTATATATCTCAATTTCAATTTTGAATGTGATACTATTACCTCATCCCATTTCATTCTGATTAAAGATGAACTAGAAGTCTTACCGATACAAACTTGTTTCGCTTATGTGATTTTCATGAAATAATAAGTGGTACTGATTTCTGACTATTGTGTTCATCATATGGTTGTCGATGAGACAGAATATAAATAAATGATGAAATGTCAAGAGCCTATCATTCTGACAACGATGAAAGGAAAAAGAGAGATCTTTGATCTTATGCAGAAAAGAAAGTAACTTAAATTTTTTATTTATTTTTAACTTGGTATCTTGAATTTGTTGTTGGTTATGATCCTCATTTCAGATCGTGATTGATGTAGTTTTTCAATAAAAACTCATGAAGGAAGCATCATATCAAATGTAATGAATTCTTCGAAAATGAACTTTAGTAGTGCTTCAGTTGGTAACTAAAAAAAGTATAACCTATTAGACTTGATTATCAGCGTATATTTACTGAAAAAGAAATTTTTTAGTAATTAAAAATTATGTATTTAGATAGAAGAGAAAGAAAAATCTAGAAAACGTTATCAATATTTTTTTCAATATAGACTATCATTTCACTTATATGTCTCAACATATCATGATTTAAGAGATATGATTCAACAATTTGCCTAGTTAAAACAAATTGTCTGCTAATAAAGCAGAAATTCTTCATGTAGAAATTCATCTTATTATATTTGAAATAAGTTGACAGACAACATTTGTTATTAATCTCTCACGTCATGTTAGTGAATCGTTTTATTATATACTTCAATGCATTCTAATATTTCACTTGCATGAATACTTTCTAGATACTTCAAAGATGAGAGAACAGTAGTCAAATGAAAGCTGTCAAGGGTTTTTATGATTATCCGTGATGTGCTGATAATAAGGGCATGATCTATGTGCATTCTATATTAGTTCAATGATGTAGGAGTAAACGGTCAATGTATAGCGAACTACTCTGACTTCATCGCCGATAGTATATCCCTGCTCACTGTGTTCTCTAGTTAATCTTCTCTTTTTGTTCCTTGTGTGTCCTCTCTTGTATATAAGTTCGTGTTCTATGTGAGAAGGACACAACTGGAATGATGCAGTAGTGCAGTGAACATCTATACCGAGGATGATGGTAGTACTTCTCCTCCACTTTGTTCATGATCATCATAAATAAAAAAAATAAACAAGACTAGTAACGAAATAATGACAAACCAATCATATTAGCTGTTTTTTCAATATAAATCAGATAAATCCAAAAATTTTCTTTTTTTTTCGTAATTATTTCAAATAAGAATATTGAGATAAAAAAAAACAAATTTCTTCTTTTAAGATTAGATACAAATATTCCTCCAAATTGATTTCCTTTTACTATTCTAAGAATTCTCAACTGTCGCCATTTTTAAAAAAATTTTTTCACAAGCAAAAGAATATCTAAGAAAATTTTTAAAAGTTAGAAGATAAATAAAAAAAAGCTTGATTGAAATTTATATTTTTTTCCGTCTTCGTCGTGAATTTATTCCTTCTTGATTAACAACAAAAAAAATTTTTTACAAAAAAAAAAACAATTTGTTTTGACATACAAAAACAAAAAATAACAAATCTTCGTTTATGTACAAAGATTTGTATTATCTTCAGCATTATCACTTGTTCTTTTTATTTATTCTTTGATTGTTTTCTAAAATAAAAATAAAAAATATTTTTTTTTCTTCTAATATTATATTTACTTTCTTTTCTTAGAACTATTTATAATATTTTCTTTGTAATCTTCGACTTCTTGGTCGACTACAAACAAAACGAAAAATAATCTATATTTCTATTAATTTTAGTTACTTACAACGTTCAAATTTTTCTAAATCTTGTAGCATATTTCAATCATTTATAGCCTTTTGAGATTTGCTTAAAAAACCAAAATAAAATGAGATTAATTTAAAATATAATTCTCTTACTGATAGATTAATAGGATTTTTTTATCCCTATATATATTGTAATTAAGTTTTTTCAAACAGCCGACGTCTTTAACAACATCTATAACAGAAAAAAAATAATGATTGATTAAAAACTTTTTTATCGAATTAATTTCATTATATAATAAGTAAGAAGTAATATATTCTACCTTCAAATTTTTCTTTTTTGTAAAATAATTCAATCCGATCAATATATGATACAAGAAGAATTTTTTTTAGTGTATCATCATTATTAACAGTTGATAATTTCTTTATAATATCATTTAACGTCTAGAAATAATTCATATATATATATACATATCTATGATTTTCTTCTTTTTTCAATAGTTTATAACACTTACTTCTATTGCTTCATCTTCTTTATTGTCAAATAAAGATAATCTAACATCAGCTGTTAAAAGACGAACTTCTTTTTTTAATTCGTCGGACATTTTATAAATAATATTAATCAAAGATTTTGTTGTAATTAGAAGAAAATGATTACATAAGAATAAAGTAAGCAAACAAGGATGGTGATAGTTTTTTGTAATAAATTATATTGACGAGAACAATTTAATACACGACGAGCAGAATAATTTGTTTTTAATAAAAAATAATAAACCTATTAATCTTGGATAGAATTAATTAATCTTAATAGATAAAATTTAAGATGATGATAAGAACTTCTTTTTCATGAAATAAATGAATACTTTTGAATTAAATAAAATGATACAGAACATGGCTATTTATATCATAGTTGACTATAAAGAACATATAAACGAATAAGTGACAAATAATTTAAACAAAAAAATGAACAAGACAGACGGACTATAACATATAATAGAAAAGACACATACATAAAGATGTCATTTTGTAAAACATAAAATTCAATATTTAAAAAATTTAAATAAATATATTAAAATATGTTTTGTTAAATTTAATTAAAATGAATTTTATTTATCTTAAATATATTCATATTGATGTTTATCGACTACTTAGAAAAATCAAGAATATTAATGCCATTAGACAAGGTTTTTTTTTATCTTATTGAAAGTGTTATTTTATATTTATAGAAAGAAATTTATATTGAACAAATGGCAACTAATTATGAAGAAGATGATAATTAAAAAATAAAAAAAATTTCGTTGAAATAAAATAAACAAGTAAGAAATGATCAAAAATTAATTTCAAATTGAATTCATTGTGTATCATGATTAGTTGTTAAAAAAATCAAATAGATTAGAGGAATGATTTCGATCAATATTAACATAAAAATATCTTGAAAATTATTTCATTATTTGGAATAATATTGATGCAAAAAACATGTTCTAGTGAATAAATTCAAATATCATTTCATCATGTATCATATCATCATTCAATAACATTTGATAATAAAATCAATACATATTCATTTGGTTATTTATCATTAATAATAATTATACTTGCATGATGACAAACAAGAAAATTTTTATGTTCATTATATCAATCATGGTATGGAAAAACATCCATAAATAGAGAAATAATAGATAAAATAATCAAAAATTTGAAATTATTTGTTGAATTGAAAATTTTCTAGAAATTGATAAATCTTCAAGATAAATATGTTTAATCATTTTATCTAATATTCAGTAATATATTATTCTTCTTCACGTCTTCAATCTTCAATTATTTCAATATTTTCATATCTAAATCAATTAATTATCATTTAACATAAGATTTACATTTTGTTTTTATTTATTTATCAATCAAAAACTAATGTTTTTTTTGTTCTATTTTAAAGTCTTTCAATAGAACAAACTTTGTCATAACATATGAAATTTTAGATATAGAAAATAATCATTATTTAATAAGTTCATTACTATTAACAACAGAAACAAAATTGATTTCAATGAAATTTGCTTTGTATTTTCTTGGTTTTTATTTTTGTTTAGATATGCTCATAGTGAAAAATATTATTATTTAGAAACATTTCCATATTGAAATATACTTAGAAAAATAAAAGAAAATCAAATTGAACTCATATTAATTTTTAATCTTAAAGAAAAGGTTTATTTTTTTTAATATAAACTAAAAAAACATAATATAAGCTATTATTAATTATTAGAAATAAATGATTTTGATTGTAAATTTCAATTACATATTATTGAACTTTATGATCAATAATATTCAGATCTTGTACGATGGTCATTTGTTTCAATTATTTCTCTTCTATTAGTTTTATATTAAATTGATACAGAAAAAACTCAACTTGAAGTTCATGCTTTACCTTTTTTTATTGAAAAATTTTGTTTTCTTTAAGAGTTATTATTTTAAAATAAAATTATATAACAATATAATCTGGGTTGTAAATATTCCTCTTTTTCCTCCTTTTTTAGTTGATTATTTCTCTTTTTCATCACTTTCTAAGAATAATTCGAAAATGTCAACCATCGCAAAGTAGAGACTGACTTTTTTGTCATTGGGGGGGGGGGGGGGGGGGAAACATAAAGGAAAACTTAGGCTATTATTATCTCTAGATAGAAATAAAACACAGAAATTTATCGTTACCAAAATAGTCAAAATTGTCGATAAACCAGGAGTTTTATCGGGAGATGGACCAATTCAGAAAGATTAAAAACAGATGGTAGTTTTGACCAGAATTTGTGCAAATAATCGAGTAACAACAAGGGTATTAGAATTATTTAGATTTTTATCCTTCGAAAATTGCTTAATAATCTGCCGAACTCGATAATTTGGACGTTTCGGACCGAAATCTTCACATATTTCAAAGCTGTATAGATTACTCCCTTTTCAAATAAAATCTGTGCTTTAGTGACATCTCTCTCTACCTCTGTATCATAACCATTTATCGCGTAGCAATTTCAAAGAAACATACATTCAGTACTAGCATACGTGTACTGATTAGGGGATGTGAAGGCTCCCCCAATCACAAAAAATGGTAACTATATAGTTGGTCGACAGAACACTTCGTCGAAAGTATATTCTTGGGCACTTCAAACGTGAGGGTAAGGGCAAAGGTCACTGAGGACACTACGAACGTGAGAGTGAAAGCAAAATGCGTTCACCTATTCATTATTAGCAGTCTTGTGACAGAACCAAAGGGTTCGCAAGAGTCTTGAGCGAGCCGCGAAGTTTTCTACGAAGTGATTTTCCTCCAAAAACATGCAGTTCTATTCAGCTGTAGTCTGACATTCTTTCATCTTCACGAAACAAGGAAAGTTAATTAGTTGACACTTTTGAACTTGTGTTCCAATGTTAGAAAAATGAGCAGAAGAAAATAATTCATTTTCAATGAAAGCGTCTGTCGACGAACAGCATAGGATTCACGAAAAATTCTTCTTTTTTTTCACTACGGAAGCTAAAAATTATTTCTTGCGTTTGGTTCGAACCTCCATGGTGACCTACCTCGATGTTTGTCCTTACAAAGTAGCCCTGTATACTGCTGTTGTATCATGCGAATATGTTTCAGATGTCGCTGAGGATGGAAGCTTATAAGGATAAATGAGCTTAATAGTAAAGTGAAGTCAAACTTCTGGTGTTTTCAACTATAGCCAAATTTTATCGTTTTGAAAATATAATACGATACCGAAAACCTATAGCATCAGGTGTGGTAAAAACTAGCAATGTGCTTCATGCTGTATGTAGTTTTTGTATGGTAAAAGTCTCTGAGTTAACCGAAAGTCTCAAAGAAAAATGTTTCCACGTTCTCCAGAAACAGTGACAGATCTAGAAAGCTACAGTACGATGTGGCCATGTAACGGTCGAACTTTTTCTGTCTATTAAGAAGCATTCTAAATTGAAATTTCATCGGATTGCTGTGAAATTGTTTTTCTAGCTTTATTACATCACTACTTTCTACAGTAAAATTGTCAGAGCTATTGAGTGGAATCTCGAACTGTAGCACCATAACAGACGGAAACTCTTATGTTGCCAGATCAAGAACTAATTTTACCTTGAAAGACTGAGTCCTCTTTTCATCCTCTTTTTTCTGCAATTGTCATTCACAAGCCAGAATATAATTGACGATGATGAATATTGAAATAATGAAAGACAATGTTTAATTAAGAGAGGGTCCATCAGTGGACCGCCAGCCAGGGCATTTGAAACATTTTTAAATTTCGATATTTTTACACAAAATGAAAGATCATGTTTGAAAACCTATAAATCCAAAATTTCAGCTCATTCTCGCTTTGCTTTTAAAAATTATAGAAATAACACTGGTAATGTGTTGCGATAGTTTAGGTCAAAACATCGAAATTTTCATTTTCGCGATATTTTCTCGATTTCTTCTCAACGCTTTCACTTATCTTTTTTTCTAATATCTCAAAAAATAAAGAATTTTTCGCTCTATCGAACTGTATATAAGAATACTCTCTCTATGTCTTCTCAGTTCTACTGAGTCTCAATATATTGGACGACAGACTACTCAAAAATCGAGTCCGGCGCCAGTATTTTGACTAAAAGAGTATCAAAAACGTTTCACGACATTTTCTTAACTCCAGATTCTGAAAGAGCATCAAAAACTGCATCGAATGCTATATATTTCATTTTGATAAGACGTTGATTCGATTTTTAATTTTTCAATGCAATCCTGTGGCCCATATAAGACAATAGACTTTTTCCATTTTTTGACCAATATTTAACGAATTCCAATCAGAAAAAGTACAATTTAAGTTCAAATTAATAACATATTTGAAATCAATATTAAAAACTAAGTCAATCTATATGTATCTTAAAGTTTTTCTTCAGTATTTTTTCCACAAAAAATTCATCTGAGACATCCGTTATGGTCCAGTCAAAAATTGAATTTTATTACGCAATCGACCTATTCACGTAACTGTTTAGCCGTCTCGGCAAAATTAAATGAAAAAAATAAACAAAATGAATATAACCGTATTGCAGAGCATGATTGATAGCTAATAAAAATATAGTTTTTCTCTAAGTAGCTTCGTATATTTTGGAGGAAGAATGCTGTTAAACAAGTATCATTCTGAATTATCGTTCAGAATTATTGACAGCTAATATTTGTCATGAATTTCACGCCTGCCAGGGATGTTTTCGAACATCCACAGGGACCTGCTGCTGCTCTTTTACAGCAGTGGGAGGCGACCCTGGGCTGCTGGTAGCCAATCGCCTAAGTTGCAGGCTAACAACCTGTCAGTTGGACATTAAACTATTATTGCTAATGAAAAGAAACAAAATAGATGTGCGAATATACAAAAACATGCATTTTTCGGTGGATGGAATATAAGATCATGTGTGAAACAATTAAAGAAAGAACTTTTTGTTAAAAAATTGAAGAAATATCATATTCAAAGAGCTGCTTTAAGTGAAACGTCTATATATGATTCGGATGTGAAAATGATTAATGAATTTACAATGATCTATTCTGGTGTATCAAGTGATAATAAAACAAGAAATGCTCATGGAGTTGCAATCTGTCTTGATCAGA